ATCTGCAAATTTTGCCATCTCACTAGTTGCCCCTTTTGCAAGAACATTCAAAAGTGTAACAGTACTGGTCCAAATGCAAATCCCAGAAGCACAATACTCATTGCTACTCTTCCCCCTCCCCCAGCTTTTAAGAACCTGGCAATATTTTCATGATGATCTAATGATCCCTTAATTACTGGACTGCCCAGTCTTTTGTTCTTTTTATAACTCTCTGCCCCAAAGGCAAAGCTGCCATCAGCTCGAACTCTATTGTGTTTAAGAGCTGCCTTTGGAGCAAGGGCATGCAGCTTTAAGCAGACTTCAAGTATGAAATCCCAAGATTCAAACTTGGGAGTGGGAGGGCTACTGCTCCCCTAATCCCCCATAAATGGCACCCATGGGCCTCTCTCCCTGCCTGCCAGCTTCTCTCCCGGGGTGGGGGTGCCATGCAAGCCATCCGCTGGCTGCTCTCTGGGGCCAGCCTGGGGTGGCAAGGGCCATGAGGTGGCTAGCAATTGCTCTCCAAAACAAGTTGGCATGACAGAACCCAAGCTGTCAGCCAGCGACTGCTCACTGAGATGCTTGCTGTCCCGCTGTGGTCATTTGTGAATATAACTGTCCCCCATGCTTGCTGCCCCCCGGTGGTCATGCATGCATATAACTGTCCCTGCTCTCACACCCCTCCCATTCCACTTGATATGAAACTATCCCATTATCCTGGTACAGCCAAACCCTGCCCTTGCTTTAAGTTGGGATAAGAGGAAGCTGCCTACCGAATTTGGTGCTCCTAGCTCCATGGTCACCATCCCCTAGAGAGGGATCTACAGGTAGATCTTGGAGCTTCTGACTGGTGATCCTAACTGGTTTGGCCGAGATGTCAAGTGTAGCACTTTGGCTGAGGTAGATCTTGGAGCTTCTGACTGGTGATCCTAACTGGTATGGCCGAGATGTCAAGTGTAGCACTTCGGCTGCCCCCGCCCCCTGCTGAGCATCTCCTGCCCTTTGCCTTGGTGCTGTCCCCTCAGGAGCCTCCTGCTTGCTGTGCAGGGCAGGGGAGGGAGCAGAGGGCTGCTGATGTCAGGGTGCTCCCTCTCCCACCCTGTATCCTATCTCCACAGAGCAGAGAGGGGGCACAACAGGGCTTGGGATGGAGTTTTCTGGCTGCTTTTGGGAGTGGTTCAGGGCCAGGGCAGGGATAAGCCTGCCTTAGCAACACTGCACCACCACCACCCAGGATCCACCTGAGGTAAGCAGGGCCCAGCTGGTGCCCACATCCCAAAACCCTACCCCAGTCATGAACCCCTCCTGCCCTAATCCTGAGCACCTCTGCATCCAAATGTCCTCCCAGAGCCTGCACCTAGAACCTCTTCTGGCACCCGCTGCCTGCCCCAAGCTCAGCTCAGAGCCCCTCTCGCACTCCAAGTCCCTTAATCCAAGACCAGAGCCTGCACCCCAACCCTCTGCCCCTGCCTGGTAAAAGTGGGGGAGAGAGGGAGGCAGGAGGGAGTGAGCTGGGGCAGGGCCTCAGAGAAGGGGCACAAAGGAGGCGGGGCCAGGGTATTTGGGTCTGAGGTAGATCTTGGATTCAAAAAGTGATCTCGTGCTTTAAAAGGTTGGCGACCGCTCCTAGGAGGAGTTCTTGAACAGATGGATGGATGGACAGACAGGTGCACAGTTCTAAAATAATATGAACCTTTCTAGTATCTGGCTCTGGGGCTGGCTATGAGTCTCATGTTTTGCTTCAGGCTCACCTGTTCCTGCCCACTCCCACTGTGTCGCTTCGCCAGCCAGTGGGCTTTGTACTAACCACAGCACCCCATGCTGCTGGGGCTCACTGTTCAGCAGTGCCTGTTGCTGGCTTGGTCCTAGCTTCCTCTTCCCACTGGATTTCCCACTCTCAGGCTTGATCTTAGAGATCCAGGCCCTATGCTGTGAATGTGGGAGGGGGCAGCAGATGGATGCTGGAGGGCTGCAGGGAAGCGTCTCTGCTCCACTGCACAGCACTTTTGTGTGTGGCTGCAGCGTGATCTGGAATGATGAATGGCTCAAGCAGAAACGGATTCCACATCCCTCATCCCTACCGGAAAATGCTCCACGACTCATTGTGTTTCAAGGTTACATTTTTGGAGTAGAACAAACATGGCCGTGTCCCTGCCTCAGTGAGACTCTGGGGCTAATAGCTCCTTGGGGATGGGAGGCAGAGAAGCAAGACATCCTGCATTAACTCACTCTTCCCTTGTTCTCTTTAACAGGCTTGGTCATATATCCTGGGGAGGGACTAGGGGACGCAGGTCATACTAGAGCTGTGGGAGAAAAGCTTGTGTTCTCTCCCCGAGAAGAGTCCACCCGATTTTCTACATAAATGAATCTCTGGGTCTGGTCCAGGCCTTTAAATCAGGTGGCTCTCCGCCTTTCCAGGCTATTGTGTCCTTTCAGAAGTCTGGTTTGTCTTGTGTACCCCAGTGTTCACCCCACTTTTAAAAACTACTTGCTTACAAAAGCAGAGTGAAAAAGACAAAAGTGTCACAGCACTGTAGTACTGAGAAATTGCTCACTGTCTCCTTTTTAACCATCTAACTATAAAATCAACCAATTGGAATGGAAATACTGTACTTACATTTTGGTGCATGGTACACAGAAGTGTATAAACCGGTCATTGTTGGTAGAAAATTTCAATTTGTACTGACTTTGCTGGGTTTTTTTTTATGTAGCCTGTGGTAAACCTAGGCAAATATGGCAAACTAGGTATGTTCACGCTGCAGGGTCTACACTTCACTGTGTCCAGGGAACACGTTTGCTCTTTCGCTTTTTTTTGTGGAAGTGCAAATGCGCTCTTTTGGAAGCCTTGTCTTCCTCATTCCACAAGGAAGAAGGGCTATTCTAAAAGAGGGGGATTTTCCGAAATTTGGCCCAGTGTAGATGGGCCAAATTTTGGAAAAGCCTCTTCCGAAAAAAAAATTGGAAAAAGCATTTTGCGTAGCTTTGTCCGAAAAAAAGCTGAGGTGTAGACCTAGGCTAGATGAGTTGATGTGCCCCTGTGGAAGACCCCCAGGACCTCTGGCTGAGAACCACCACAGGTCCCTCAAGATGTGGTTTGATTCCTGTGAATGTTGCTTTGTCTCATCAAACCAGGGCAGTCACGTGTGCGTATTTTAAAGATCTGATGTTTGGATTGGTAACAAGTCCTGTAGAGGCTTTTTCTTAGCCCTTTCTCATGACCCCCTGCCCCTGCCCCTTCTTTCTGCCAAGTACTCCTACAGGCCACATCAGTATTTGCTGATGTTATTCCAAAATAACACAGTCCTCATCTACACAGCAAACAATTATTTCAACATAATGTCGAGCTGGAGGACTTCTTACTCCGACTCCTGGAACCCTCATTTCACAAGGAGTAAGGGAAGTCGTAACTCCGACTTCCTGCTGTGTAGACAGAGCCAAAAGCCAAAATAAGCTACTTCATCTTCAGTTACACAATTGACGTAGCTCAAGTTGCGTAGCTTATTTTGGCTTTAGCCCTGCTGCGTAGACGTGCCGTTAGGGAGTGTCTGCTGAATGTTACAGTGGGCCCCCCTAGGTGCTGGAACAGAAATGCTTAATAAGCCTAGAAAACATAGCACCTGGTCCTGCACTGTGTATATTAATAGGAGTTGCATCATTGCCTGAAATAGGCTGGATCCGAAATGTCAACAAAAGGTTAAAGCTCCAGTGCTAGCCCAGGCCAGGGGTATACTAGGTGTGCTTTACCCATCCAGCAACTGGTACGTTGTTCTTATTGTGGACACCACTTACCAGCAGAACTTCCCCTTTGCCAGGATGGCTTATTTGAGACACATGCCTGCCAACCGCTCATTGCCACACCCCTCCAAAAGCACATGAGCTTCTGGCGGAGGTGAGACCTTGGAAATGGGAAGAGTTAAAGAGACTGTCAGATCAAGGTGTGCCTGATGCCGGGGCCCAGGGAATTGCGGGGAAGCCTCGTGTCTCTATGGTGAGGAATTGGATCCCAGTTCTTCCAAAATCAACAGGACTTGGAGCACTTTAGCCCTGGTATTTACTGCTCTCACCAGGGGAGGGTGAGATTAAAGAGACTAGGACTTTTCATCTTGGAAAAGAGGAGACTAAGGGGGGGGGGATATGATAGAGGTCTATAAAATCATGAGTGGTGTGGAGAAAGTGAATAAGGAAAAGTTATTGACTTGTTCCCATAATATAAGAACTAGGGGCCACCAAATGAAATTAATGGACGGCAGGTTTAAAACAAATAAAAGGAAGTTCTTCTTCACACAGTGCACAGTCAGCCTGTGGAACTCCTCGCCTGAGGAGGCTGAGAAGGCTAGGACTATAACAGGGTTTAAAAGAGAACTAGATAAATTCATGGAGTGAGCCTCGCTTTGACCCAAACACGGACCTGGAACTGTAAGCAAGAGGGCAGCTGGCAGCGTGGCAGGACCGGTCCTGCAGGGCCCCCGTAGAAGGGCGACACTAGGGAAGCTGGCATCTGGGTAGGTTGGGGTCCTGCTATCTCAGCAGTGCTTTTGTGCTGAAATAAACTGCCCTGGGAAGGCTGGCTGGGGGCTGGGCCTGCCATTGACCTTTGAGAGTGAGCCAGCCACAGGTGCAGGGCTGCGATCTCTCCACTGAATTAATCCCAGAATTGTGGGCAGACTGCAGGTTCCCTCCCATAGAGGTGATAACTGGAGACCTGATGGGACTCCCTGGCACATACCCCGGAGTTTTGGTCCGCTCCAGAACTGTAACAAAGCTCTACCAGCGAAAGTACGTCTGGACTAGGATAACTGTGACTACATTGGCCTGCCAGTGGGGAATCAAACATCCCTGACATAACTCTAGCGTCAAAAATGCCTCATGTGGAGCCAGGACTTGCAATGATTAACTATCCATAGAGTCATCAATAGTTTATGAAAATAAGGTGGAACAGGTCCATTCTAGTATTTAAAGTGTGCGTGTTGGGGGACGGGGGAGCTTTCTTGGCTAACTGTGGATTTTTATATATTCATTTATTTATTTTTGCATTGATAGACCCAAGGAATTAAAATACGGCTGAGCAGTTTTGAGCTGAATAGCTGGGTGTATCAGTACAGAGGCGGGTGTAAGAGTTTATGTTTAGACTTGAGCACAACTGATCCATCCCCCTCCTTCATAGCCTCAGTCTCTCAGCTGAACTGCAATTGTGAGTGGCTGCAGCCTGCTTAAGGAAACACAAATTCTCTCCCACCTTTTCAGAAAACGATGGAAAACGAAGTGTTTGCATCGTTTACTTTCTACAGCACGCTCTTGATTATAAAAATGTATGTTCTTGCCATCATCACAGGACAAGTGAGGCTCAGAAAGAAGGTAAGACATTACAGCTTTTCGGCACTCCAGAACTGCCTGTGCTGCTTTGGGGTTTCTGTTAGTGTTTCTGCAGCTGCTGAGTTTTTAGTTTGAGCCTTTAAAATAGCAACTGACTGGTTTGACTGGCTTTGAAGCAAGTTGGAAACAAAACATTTTATTTTATAGCTGCAGTAGATCAGCACGGCGTGGCGTGTGTGTATTTCCCTCCCATCTGCAACATGTTTAGAGCAGGATTCAAAAAGATAAACAGTAATTTGCAAATGCAAAATGCCATTGCAGGTGAGTTCCTTTTGGAAACAGCCTTTTTTGTTCACTTTCAATTTGACAGTTTGTCTGAAAGAAACTAATTTTTTTAAAGTTGTTTTTAAACGAATAGCAAAAAAACCAAACCAACAACCCACCCCATGAACTTAGAGTCTGTTTGTGACTTTTTAAAGGCTGAAATTCCTACCTGTGTTTGTTACAGGAAGCTCCAACTTCTTAGGGGTTATACAAGTCTGAAGAAAAGTTGTTTTTTGGATTGGGGAGTAGAACAGAAATATTCTCCTAGTGCAAGGAGAAAACACAGGGCTCACATGTCAACAGAAATCAATCAAATATTAGCTCATGTTTTTTCTCCTCTTGCTTGGACATTCTGTCCCTTTTCCTTAATTAAAAAAAATAAAGAAAAATCTCAACTGGATGCTCTCCAACCTTGGCTGTAAAGCAGTTCAAACACAGTAAAATTCTTACTGGCGTGGAAACTGGTCAAACTGTGGGGACGTGGTTGCACGCATTTGTTAAATAAGAGCTCTGTTTTTGTTCTGTGTCTTACTGTGAAAACGACGGTGGCTATCTTGCTGTAGCTCTGATGTGTTCGGGCTTGTGTGGTCAGCCCCAAACCATTCAACATCCCTGCATTATGCTCTAGAACAGGGTTTCCCAACCTATGGCTCGGGACCCAAATATGGGTCACCATTACTTTTCAAAAGGCTCTCCAGGTGTCTCCCAGGTGGCTCTTAAGGAGCCATTCACACATTTTTTTGAATTGCCCTGGGTCACCAAGTCTTCCTGGATTGTTAAAATGGGTCCCCATCTGGAAAAGGTTGGGAACGGCTGCTCTAGAACAATGGTATTCAAACAATGTCAGGCACTGGGTCGCCATGCTGTGGGGTGACCAGGCAGCCAACGGGGCGCTAAGATAAGCTTGCTACCTGTCCTGGTACCATGGACTGTGCTGCACCCCAGAAGTGGCCAGCAGCATGTCTCGGACATAGGCAGAGGGGTCATGGGGCTCTGTGAGCTTCTCCCTCCCCGGGCACCAGCCCCATGGTCCCCTGGCTGGGAACTAACTCTACCAACTGGGGCTGAAGCTACCCCCAGAGATGAAGTCATGTCATTTTCTTAAAAGAGTCTATTAAAATCTCCAGGATTGCTTTCGGTAGTCCTCGGAGATTGATGCCAATTCTGGGAGACTCCAGGAAGGTTGGCAACTCTAATACCATCCCGGGGTGGCTGCATTTCAGTGCTGGGCAAAGCGTCTTCTATATTACACAGGGGAATCACATGGCGGTGACATTGAGGCTAAGTCTAGACTGCAGGCTTCTTTCGGAAGAAGCTTTTCCAGAAGATTCCTTCTGGAAAAACTTCTTCTGAAAGAGCGCGTTCACATTGTCAAAGTGCATCGAAAAAGCGATTTGCTTTTTCGAAAGAGAGCGTCCACACTGAATGGACGCTCTCTCGCATTTCAGCTGTGATTACTATGGACGGAATAGCCACCAGGGCACCTGTGCTTTTCCCTCTTTCCTCTTCTTTTGAAAGAACTCCCTCTTCCTCGTCCACACACGCCTTTTTCCGAAAGAGCTATTTTGGAAAAAGGCTTCTTCCTCATAGAATGAGGATTCCCAATGTTGGAAAATACCCTCTGTTCTTTCAATTTTCTTTTGGAAGAACGCAATTGCAGTGTGGACGTAATTGAAGGTTTTTTTTGAAAAATGACCATTTTCCCGAAAAAAAAAACCTCTGTAGTGTAGACATACTCTGAGTTAAGCTTGCAAAATAGTTTTAATTGCAATGTGACATGCCATTGCCCTCTGCAGTGCAGTACCGATATGAAACCCTTCATTCACCTCCTGGAAAACTTCAGCCCCCAACAGCTTCAGGCTCTTTTGTAAGCGACTAGAAAAGGGAAGGGGGGTGAGAATGGGAACCCCCTAGGAATAGCTGTCACCGCTGCTGTGTGCAATGAACACTAGGGCTGGGATGGTCCAAGTCGTGCTAACTTTTGAAGATTTAGTCTCCAGTACCCACATGGGGAGCATTAGGTGCCCAAGAACGGGATTCATGGAAGCCAGCAACTCATCTAAGCCAGACAGGAGTGAAATGCCAAGGAGGGGGCTTAGTTATCTTCAGAGCTGGCCTGATACCCCTGGCTGAGAGGTCAGAGTGAGGTGCCTTCATCTCCTGGAGCTAGGCTCTGAAGCCAAGGCAGCCACTCACGTAACCCATGCCCTAGAACGGGGGTTCTCAAATTTTTTGGCCTGCTCAACACGAACCTTTCTGCAGAGCACCAGCCATGATGACAAAATGGGGGCAGGTTAGGGTGAGGTTGTGGGGTCCGGGTGGGAGGTTGGGTGCAGGAGTTGGCTGGGAGTGGGGGTTTGGCCAGGAGTCCGCCAATGAGAGCAGCAGGGGAAGCCTCCAATCGAGCGGTTTCCTGCACCAGCTGCGGGGTGTGGGGAGCAGGAGTGGAGCCGTTTCCTTCCCCTGCGAGCTGGATCCGGCCTACGAGGCTCGAGGCTCCCTCCTGCAGTGGGAAGCCAACCCTGCTGTGGTGGGGGAGGGACCTATGGGGCTGGATGGCTTGCACGGGCTCCCTGCTGCAGGGAGAGCTGAGCCCTGAGCCCACAGCCCACCTGCAGGATGGTCGGGGACCACTAGTGGACCATACTTTGAGAACCCTAGAAGCCCTAGAAGCCCGACTTGTGTGTGTTTCTCTCATGCTCTTCCTAGGTTTCCCTGTACACCTAGGGTCAACTTATCCATTAGGCGCAGTAGGCAAAGTGCCTAGGGCCCATAATACTTTTAGGGGCCCAATGAAAATGTTTTAATTTCTTTTAAAATCAGAAGAAAAAAATGAACTTTTAGGGTCGAAGAAAATGTTTAAATTTTTTTCTCACATCAGAAAAAAATGAAACTTTTAGGGCCCATGAAAATCTATTAAATTTTGCCTAAAACAGAAAAAAAAAAAATGTTGAAGTATTTAAAGTTATATAAAAATAATTTTTAATATTGATATTATTATGGTGGGAGGGGCCCACGAAGGCAAAAGTGCCTAGGGTCCACAAAAGTCATACTGTGGGGGGCTGTGCTGCCTGCTCCTTCCCACACACTTATTGGCAGCCTGTAGCCAGCCCTCCTGCACTGGGCTCTGACTGGGACATGGCGTGCCCTCCTAAAGCATGCCTACGGGTCATTGGCAAGACAGGTATTCTCATGCTTTGGCCCCTTTGTGGCTTAAGCAAGATCCAGGGCTCTGAGCAGCTTGCTAGCTATGGGTCGGCGTCATTGCTTAGGCAGCTGACTGGTGGAAACGCAAGCCCCTAGGGGATCTGGGTACCCGCAGGGCTGTGTGGCAGCTGAGGGCTGCTATGAAAGCATCAGTGGTGCCTAAAGAAGCGGATGAGGCCTCTAAATACCAGTGAGGAGCTAGGCCTGGGTGTCCAAATCCCTAAGCAGCTTTGACAATCTCAGCCCAAGAGCCTGATCCTGCTTGAGCAAGCTGCCCGCTCCAGTGCCTGAGCATGTGACTGAATTAATCACGCGCTGGAGTGCTGGCAGGACTGGGCCCCAAGACTGCGTAGCTGCTGCACAGTTAATAAGGAACAGGAATGGATCACACCCTACACTTTGTGCAGCCCAGAGGAGCTGTGGGAACATTAACTCCCCATTTCCTGGCTGCATTTCAGCTGAGCAGCCTTAACCTTGTGCAGCAAACTTGTTTAACTCAAGAGCCCTGCAAATCCCCAGAGCCGCAGATCGTTTTATGGCTCGGGTGCAGATACAAATGTTGGCTCTGCACAGGGCTCTGCGCCTTATGCTCCTGTGAGCCTCGGTCAGAAGCATCTCCCCCTGCTTCTTGGATGGCAGTCAGTGATCCCTGTCACCTGAGCACTTGGGTGGCCACCCAGGAGAGATTCCAAAACTGGTTAGCGGGGCGGCATGTGTTTCTACTGGTGGTGCATGTCCACCCATGGCTCGGTGCACAGAACAAAATTTATTCTGCACACCAATTAGAGGCAACATTGATGGCAATTCTGTCTTCCAGGCTTTTGCCAATCCAGAGGACGCCCTGAGGAATGGAGGGCTGCAGTACTACCGAGAGGACCCGGATGTGGAGCGATGCCGCAGGCAAGTGCTGTACTGTGAATTCTGTGTACTGTGTTCTCTGGGGTGGAGAAATGATCCTCGGCAGCTGCAAGGTGTCAGGGGAAAGGCAAAGCGAAGGGCTCATTAATTCGGCAGTTACGATCAACAGGCGCCTGAAGCAGGATCCCATCAGCTCCTCGTGCTGGGGCTAGTTAAATATTATGGTGAAACACGGAAGGATTCATGCCTGGGGTCCTAACACTATCCATCCAGTGGTCCTGTTATAACTGGCTCCTTTGAGTCCAGTTTTTCAGTGTCCCAGACAGCTGTAGGCATGTCTTGAATTAATGCGCTAAGGTCTCTCCAGCTCCACCAGACCAAATCTTCACTTATCCCTGCACAGCGCTGACAACACGACAGTCCATGAGCAGAAATGCTTGCTGCTGTCGCAGCTCCAGGCTCCCCTACAAAGCTGCCCATGCACCATGGCTACTCTTTCAGTCCTCGGTCTAAGAAGAGACAGTCAGTGATGTCACATTGCATATTGGTTTTGCCTCCAATCCAGTGCTTCTTAAACTGTGTTCCATGGCACACTGGTGTGCCGCGAGGCTGTCGGAGGTGTGCTGCGGAGAACAACAGAGTTCAAAATGGCTGCCGTTAAAGGGGCAGGCAACCTTTTTTTTTCCCCAATAACTTTTCTCCGGCCTCTTTTTTTTTTTCTCAGCAAAAAAATCCTTGGTGTTCCTCATAAAAAAAAATTATTGTTTGGTGTTCCTCGGTTTTAAAAAGTTTAAGAAACTCTGCTTTAATGGGTCCAAGTGAGGTTGCGATTCCCCCCTTAAGCTGAGCTCACTTGCGCTGCTGCTAGATTTTAACCCACACTCCAAAAGGTGGCAAGCAGTGTATTAACCCACAGACACTTCACTTCACAAAGGCTACATCTAGATTACATCCCTTTTGACTGCATCCCTTTTCCGTAAAAGGGATGCAAATTAGACATATCGCAATTGCAAATGAAGCGGGGATTTAAATCTCCCCCGCTTCATTAGCATAAAAATGGCTGCCACTTTTTTTCGGCACGGAGCTTTGCCGGAAAAAAGCGCCAGTCTAGATGCGGATCTTTTGGAAAATAAAGCTTTTTCCGAAAGATCCCTTATCTCTCTTAAAATAAGGGATAAGGGATCTTTCAGAAAAGGCTTTATTTTCCGAAAGATCCGCGTCTAGACTGGCGCTTTTTTCCGGCAAAGCTCCATGCCGGAAAAAAGTGGCAGCCATTTTTATGCTAATGAAGCGGGGGAGATATAAATCCCTGCTTCATTAGCAATTGCGATACGCCTAATTTGCATCCCTTTTACAAAAAAGGGATGCAATCTAGACGTAGCCAAGGAGTTTTGAAGCTGCGTTAAGGAACTTGGTGTTGTACAACAGTGAACCCATAGCCTCAGGATCTGCAGAATTAGGTTGACACGAAACAGCTTACTGCAACCTCCCTCTGTAAGCCTCTGCTGGACTATGTCACGCCCACAGATATAACTCCCCCATGACCGTGACTGACTAACTCCACCTCGGCCAGAGGCATAGCACCGAAGTCAATGGAGTTAGGTGGATGCAGTGTTAGTTCAGACACCACGCTGCTTCCATCAATCGTGGCTGCCTTTCAGAAGCTGTCCCACATGGTCCCATGCTCTCAGGTGAATCGGTGCCAGGGCTCTTGGTGAGGACGCGCACTGCCGATACAAGGGGCGTGGTGTGGACGTGCCAAAGCGACTTAACTGCTGCGATGGCAGCATATCAATGTAAGTTAACTTAATTTTGCAGTGTTGGCCCTGAGCATATATGTGTGTGGACAGGGCCATTGATGCAGGGGTGTAACCACTGGTGGGCCTGCGTGGGCCATGGCCCATCTCCTTTTTATCAAGGCCTACCCCTCACCAACCTGCCTGGCACTCCAGCTGGGGAGCAGGGACGGAGCGCCGAGGCTTATCCTGCTCTGCTCTGTCTGGGGAGCAGTGCTGGGTCTTACCCTGCGCTGGCAGGACAGCGGGGGAGGAGGACACCAGGGCTTCCCCTGCTCCATCCCAGCCAGAGCACCGGGGAGCAGGGCCAGGGTTACATGGCTTACCCTGCTCCACTCCAGGTCTATGTCCATGAGTGGGACGGGGGCTTAACCCCCTCATCCCTCCTGTCATGATCCTTCCCCCATTCTTGCCCACCCACCTGAAGTCAGGGCCCAGCCAAGTGGGCCAATCTGGTGCTGATGGGATGACGGGGTAAAGGGGGTGTTGCCCCAGGGCCTGGTGATCTCAAAGGTACCAGGCTCCAGGCTACCTTGCTGCTACTGGAAACTTTTTAAACCGCTGTGGGAGCCCTCCATGGCATGGTCTGGGTAGCACTGAACGGGGGGGCCCCTAGTCCTTCCCCGTCTGCCTGAGGCCCTTCTTCTTCCTGCCTGCAGGTTGCCTCCACTGGAATTTGCAGAGAGATAACTAATCCCCCTTTTTGGCAGTGAAGACGTAGCCCTAGTGAAGCCAAGGCAGGAGTAACTTTAACCCTTGTTGGCTGGTCAAAGTTAATCCCAAGGGTGGTTTAGAGTCTACTGTGAGTTACAGAGACAGCTGCTTTGTCTTAGCTAGCCCAAGCTACAATGCTAGAGAACGCCTTTCCAAGTGAAGGACAAGCCTTACTTGGCCTTGGCCTAGCCGCGCCGCTCAGGAGTACGAGACGGTGATGGTTAGAAGTTGTGCGATGGGAGATACGAAAGGGCTGGAAAAAGAATCCCTCAGCCTTTTAAGGAGCCTCTAGCATGAGAGTTGGCCTAAAAGCTGCCTTTGTTTCTTCCCATCTCTCTGGTTGACATCTCTCTGGGAGGACTTGATGTGCTGGCTTAGCTAGCACCCGGGAGTTTATTTTTGTTGAGCTAAGGGCTGGGCAGTGGTGGAAGCAGTGTGGGCCCCATTAGCCTTGTGTTCTCCGGGACTTCCAATGTGTCAGAGGAGAAGCTGGTTGCATGACACAGAAATGGTGGCGAAATGAGTTGGGTGTGGGGAGATTTACAGTTGTTTACTGCGGAATATAAAGCTGGATCTGGAATGTAAGCAAAGGATTTCTGAAGTAAAGTCTAAAGCAGGTGGTGTGTGCTCTGGGGATGGGTGGCTTACGGAAGCAGGGACATGCGCTATAATTATGGTGACCATACACCCCTTTTTTCTGGGTCAGTCACGGATTTAAGGGTTCTGTCCCAGTGTCCTGATAAAGGCAGCAAATATCCCGGAAAACCCGTTGGGCTCCGGCTACAAACAGCACCACCATTTCCCCCCTCTCCGGGACACCCTCGCAGACAGCCAGCACTAGCTCAGCGTAGCAGCAACACCCCGCCCCCACCCAGCACGTAAGCGCCTCCGTTGGTGATTTGCAGGGCACCCAGGGATGCTGCCGGTGGCGCGCAGTATCCAGAGTGCCAATCTCCCCTGAAGCATGCACCGCCGTCTCGCGCCCCCACGTCCCCACGTAGCCCTTCCCTCCCATTGCGGGACTGCCAGCCCAGCCATGCTGCCTCCTCCATCCCAAGGTGGCCACCACCGCTGCTGGAGGGGGAGGGGGATAAATCCGGCAAGCCGCTCCTGAGAGTCCTGGCAGAGACCACGCAGAGCCCGGCTGGAGCGCTGTAGAGCAGGGTATGTTCAGGCTCTGCCAGTGCACTCTCTGCACGGCCCTTTCTCCCCCAGCCCCTTCCCACCCTGCTGGGGGAGCAGCAGTGCATGGACCCGCTTACACACCCTACTTCCCCCCAGGCTCCTGCTAATGGGAGCCAAAGCTGGTGTGGGAACTTCAGTAAAATTAGCACCGCGGGCGTCTCAGCTCCAGGCCCAGCAAACGGTCCTGTCTTGGAAGCAGCTGGGACCAGGGCTGTGGGGACTTCTGGGGCCCAACCACAGACTCCAGCCCCACAAACTGGAAGGCAGAAGATGGGGGAGAGGAAGGGGGAAAACTGGGGGGAAGGGGCTTGTGCTGAGGGGAGGGGGCAGGGCAGGAGAAGAAAGGGGAAGGCACCAAGGGACAGGGTGAAGGAGAGTCAAATGTCAGGGGACCAAGTGGAGACAATGAGGAAAAGGGCAGGAGGGGAGGTGTCAGTCGGAGGGGGGAGGGCACAGGGTGATGCTGGGAGAGGAGAGGGCATTGGGGGCAAGAAGGGTGGTGCTGCCAGCTGCTGCTGCCATGCATGGTGTTTGCAGGTGAGCGGGGAGATGCCCAGGCGTGATGTGAGTCATGGCCCGGGACTTTAAAACTGCTCGGCGTGGCATTGCGCTGCGCGGCCTAGCTCCAGGTTCGGAGTCCTGGGACTTCTGGGGCCTGAGCGCAGACTCCGGCCCTGCAAGGTGGAAGGAAGGAAGGGGAAGGGGTGGGAGAGGAAGGGGCTTGAGCAGAGGGGGAAGAAAGGGGAAGGTACCATGAGACAGGGTGGAGGAGACACAAATGCAAGGGGTCTAAGTGCAGACAACGAGGAAAAGGGCAGGAGGGGAGGTGTCAGTGGGAGGGGGGACAGGGTGATGCTGAGAGAGGAGAGAGTAAGGGCAGACACCTGCAGGGGAGGGGCCAGAACCAGAGGAGAGAGGCAGGGCAGGTGTTAGGAGAGGGGATGAGGAGGGGTAGCTCATGTGATCAGAGTGGGGCTACTGGAGGAGTGCGCACAGAGGGGAAGGGCTGGTGCAGGGGGCAGGTCCCAGGAGGGCTGAGGGGAGTAAGAAGGGCAGGAGTCAGGACAGCAGGTACCAGGGGAGCTGATGAAGCAAGGGGAGGAGACATGGCAGCAGAGGGAAAAGGTAGAGGTTTATAAGATATTGTGCCACAGTGGCACATCCAAACAAGCCACATGAACTCAGTACTGGTGCACAACACAAAATTCATTCGGCTCATGGGAGGAAACTTAGAGGGAACACTTCCCTCAGCCTCTCTACACCCCCCGCCCCCGAGTTAATGTGACACACTCAGTTTAATGCAATTGCAGGATAGTTGCATGAGGGGGGTTTGGTGGGGGCCAAACTCATCCCTATTGGTAGGAGGATGGTGGGAAAAGTTCTTGGGGGGGGTCACATGACACCTTTTACTTCTGGTCATGTGTCCATCTTGAACCCCGAGAGTGTTACCTTCAGGGGCATGGCTAATGGGGGTCAGGGACATGGTTAACAGGAGTCATGGGGTGTGGCTAATGTGTCCCTAATTTTGGTTCAGAAAATATGGTCACCATAGCTATAACGGAATGGCTTCATACCAGAGAACAGACTACTGCCCCCTAGTGTCTGCCCACAGGAAGGATAAGAAACCAATTTATCAGCTCAGGCAAATCTCTCACTGAATCTCTCAGATTGGCGACTAAGAGAGAGAGGACCATGACCAAATAATTGTAACATCCATGTGGAGCAAGGGGGCGGGACCCACACTTTGAATCTCACATGCACTGAACACGCAAGGTCATGCCACATGGAGAATACCATTTCATATAGAATACACTGGGGGAGGAGGCAAGCCACTGGGGTGGAGCCCTGCTGCTGAGGGTAGAGTACCTTCCCTTAAAATATCAGGACTTACCTCCGCCTCCTATTTCTCATGGGACCACCCAGCATGCGATGTGGAGAGAGCTGAGTTGCTCTGGATTTACACTGGTGAGACCAAGAATTTAGCCTCCAGAGTTTAGCAACTGAGGCAGTCTCCGGGGAAATGTGACTGAGAAAAAGGCACTGAGGAAGCAAGAGCTTTGGTCTCAGAGTCACCCAGGTGAGGACAAATGGGGAGTGGGTTTGGGCCTTCCAGTCAGCGGATAAAAATCCTGATTAAAAACAAACTAGAGCCCAGCGATTGCCTTTCCACGCCTGGACGCTCAGGACAGGAAATGGCTTGATTGAAGTGTCCGCCACGGGCTGTGGTTGCCTTGTTTACGTAAAATCCTCATTTGTGGGTTTGGAGTGAGGATGAGGAGACAGGAAATGGTGACTGGCTGCTTTGGAACGGCTACATTTGGCGCACGCTCCGTCTCCCTCGGAAACAGGGATATGGTGATTGGAAGCAGCTGCAAGGCATCGAGGCCTGTCAACCAGCTCCTTCTTCCCAGCCTTTCTGCCTCAGTGTAAATGCTCAAAATACAAATGCTTTCATTTCCCCCCCTCCCCTGCCCCACCTTTGCCACGGAGACAGTCCAGGCATGCCAAGTTAGCTAATAACATGGCCAGAGGGAATCCTGGTGTGGATGAGTATGGTGCACTCCTGCTAAGGCTAGACATGGTATGGAAAAGGTCAGCCTCAACTGGAGACAGGGATTTCAAAGCCTTATTGCTTAAGGCTTATTGCAAGAGCTGGTCCAAAACATTTCCAACAGATGTTTTCTGTTAGAGAAAATGCTGATTTGACAGCATATGAATGTTTGTGGGTATGTGCAGAGTTTTTATTATGGATCGTTTATCAATGTTTGATTTGCCTTTTGTTGTTGTATTAGAAACTGTGAGGTGCTGTGACCTTTTGCCTCAGAACATTGTGACTTCATATCCTAGGGTGACATCATAATGCCAGCACACAATATGTCAGGCTCTGATGCAGTGTCGTGTTGTGAGGGTCACCAGGCGGGGATGTGCCGTGTGATATGTCTCGCTAGCCCATTACATCATGACACGATACCCTCTCTCGTACAAACTGAAGTGGCACACTGCACATTTTTGTCCTGATTTGAGATTAAACCAAATTTAAAATCAGGCAATAGTCCAAATTCAACCAGCTGTGCTTATTTGTATTGTTGTAGCACTTAGGAGTCCCATTCACGGACCATTGCGCTAGGCCAGGGATGGGCAAATACTGTCCTGCAGGCCAGATTAGGTCCACCAGTGTTAGCGCCTGGTGGGCCCTCACAGCTAGATTTACCTGCACCTCTGTAGGTATGGGTGATTGCAGCTTCTGTTGGCTATGCCTGCGGAGGTGTCCTGGTCTGCACCACTTCCATTGGCCAGGAGTGGCGACCTGTGGCCAATGGGAGCTGCAATCGCCAGTCCCTGCAGAGGCACAGGTAAATATAGCAGTGGCGGCCCACCAGGGGCTAACCCTGGTGAATTACTGCCGTTTATTGCCCACCCCGTGCTAGGTGCTGTACAAACACAGAACAAAAAGTCTTTGTTCCAAAGAGCTGCATTCTAGGTAAGGGCCTGAGATGTATTGAGATACCAGTCATCTCTGGGGGAATAAGGAGAAGGAGGTCTTTTTTAAAGCTGACATGCAATGGGACAGGTAAAATGGGTTTATACTCTTATCCTTTGATAGGAAAAAGGACAACTTTATTTCTGACTACTTTTAACACTAGAAATTTGAGTCTTGTCTACTCTCACTTCCTGGAAGACTCTATGGACAACTAGGGACCCAGGAGGCTTATGACATCACAGGTACCAAGCCAGTGAAACTTGACTGAGAGCAGAAGGATTGTGTTTTGGTCAACCTGTTCCAGGCTCTGCCCTACTGACACACAGGTGTTTTTTGGGAGAAGGGGGCTTACAGGTAACTGACACGTGTTCTCTCACTAACAAGGCCAGCAGTAGGACTTACTGTAAAGTAGCTAGGTGAAAGCAGTCCTATAACCCCTGTCTATGTTGACCACAATAGTACTTCAATCTGCAGTAAAACTCTGCAGTTTTATCCTGGCATAGCTAATGCATGTTAGTGATCCTGCAGTAAGAACACCCCTCTTTTGTTAAAGACAAAGCATAAAACTCACTCTCCAGATTTCTAGAGATCACAAAGAATCCAATAGCCTTCCCTCTTGGAGGTCACCTGTAAATGTATTTTGTAGAGACTGGCCTAAGCCTCATAACTCAGAGCTACATCTGAATTTCCAGCATTCCATTCCTGGTGAGTGTTCACATTAGGGGGTTTTTTCCCCCCGGGCCCAGTCTCGAGCAGACAGGGAGCCCTGCAAGAGCTATGCGTCTCTTGCAGGTGACTCAGGGCATTGTTATCTTTACCCCCAAACAATTTAAAGGTGAATATATAACATTAAAGTGGCTTGTGGTATAAGCCTGGGCTTGAGAAATAAGCTGCACCTATTTCCTGTACCGTCTCTACTCCTGGGTTCTGCTGCCCTGACTTACGCAACCAGTTCCAGCTCAAAAGCAGCATTCGGTTAGAATTACCTGTAAAATGCTGTGGGATTTGGCAGGCTGGGAAGAGGAAGCCCAAATGAACAAGGATACAGGAAACAAGACTCCGTGGGGAAAGCTGATCCATCCCAGGGCCTGGCTTCTGCTGAATGAATTGGGGCAGAGTTGAAACGTGATTATTCTAGGCATGTGGGTGGGGAGCTCGGTGTCTTCACACTGCAGCTCCCAGTCTTGAGTGTTAAGCAGGGTCCTTTCTAGTGGCATTTTTGGGGGAGGCCTGTACTGATCTTGATTTTTTTTTGGAAGGGGAGGGGCTCAGTCCTCCCAGGTATAGAGTGCTCTCAGGTCCTATCACTTCAGTAGGAGTTGGGGGCTCAGCACCTTCTAGGATGGGAGCTCTAAGAGAGAAAATGGAATTAAGAACCCATCCAGAATTCATTAAGTCCAATAGAAAGCCTCCCAGGGACTTCAGCTGGGAGTAGCATTGATCCCTCCAGGTCATCATGAACTTAGCCATCATCTTAACTAGTGATTTCATATATAATTCGGCATAGCTGGTAGCACTGCGTATACTTCGTGTCGTCCAACACTTCTCATTAGACTCTCTCCCCGCCAGAGGAGGGGGTAGATGGGTGGAACCAGGAAAACTTGCATCAACAAATCAGTGAAAGCTTGGATGGTCTTCAAATTTTCTTTTGGTACCTCATGGGAAATTTGGAAAGATTTACACACACATCTGTGTGCTGACGTAGTGAGCAGATTTCATCCAGGATTTTGGTTTCCCCAGCTTTTAGGAAGCTTTGTTTCATCCTCATTTTGTAAACTCTTCCCGGATGGGTGGGGAAGGGTTAGTGGGGACAGTGCATCTTTCCATAGGTTCTAATATCTTAGCGCAATGTTTCTGTGGTTCCCCTCCTGCTTTGGCTTTCGCTATTGAGAAGGCTTGCTTTAAAGATACTGGGCGATAAAATTAGGTGCCTCACTCCCACTGAAATCCAGCGGGAGTTGGCTGCCAGGCGCCCTTGAAAAGCCTGGTAACTTTTCATTTCTTGGCACATGTGTTTCCTCAGTGGCATTCCACCCAACAGCAATTCATCTGTCCTCTTCTGGAGCTGTTACGATGGGAGAGTCCATGCAGCCCAGAAAGGCAGGGATGGCAGCATGGGCTGGCTTGGGGGGGGGGGGGGGGGCGGGTGGGGGGGCCTGCGGCCAGGCAGCAGAGCAGCTGGTGGGAGTGACTGGTGGGCAGCTGGTAGGCGCAGCACCGGGGCTGCAGGAAGCCAACCCTCAGTGCTGCCCGGAGCATGCCGCTCTGCACCCCGCCCCCCTGAGCAGTCCTCAAGACTGCTGAGAGCACGCTGCACAGGGCTCCAGCAGAGATTTTAAAGGGCCCAGGGCTCCGGCTGCTGCAGCTTCTTTGTCAGAGGCAGCTGGGAGCCCTAAGCCCCTCTGGTAGGCGCAGCACCGGGGCTGCAGGAAGCCAACCCTCAGTGCTGCCCGGAGCATGCCGCTCTGCACCCCGCCCCCCTGAGCAGTCCTCAAGACTGCTGAGAGCACGCTGCACAGGGCTCCAGCAGAGATTTTAAAGGGCCCAGGGCTCCGGCTGCTGCAGCTTCTTTGTCAGAGGCAGCTGGGAGCCCTAAGCCCCTCTCCTCCCTGTACCGCCGGGGCAGGGGCTGTGTATGGGGCGGGGGGAAAGGGGGTGGGGAAGAAGAATTGGGCAGTTCAGTGATTGGTGGGAAGGAATAGACTCCACAGCAGCCCCATAAGCCTGAACTATCCTGTTTGCATTTTCAGGGCCCATCGTAATGACATGGAGAACATTTTCCCCTTCCTCTTCCTTGGGGCCATCTACTCGCTGCTGGAGCCCAATCCCCTCCTGGCACGAGCCCACTTCCTGATCTTCTGCTTGGGGCGGATAGTTCACACCGTGGCCTACCTGCTGCAGCTGAAAGCTCCCACGCGCTCGGTGGCATACAGCGTGGCCCAGCTGCCCTGCTTCTCCATGGCACTGCAGATCCTCTTCGCGGTCATACCAAACTGGTAACACGCAAGACTCACCCGCCAGGGCTGCCGAGGGGCTTAGAAAGATGTGACTGTGCTGCTTTCCCAGGAGATGGACTTACTCTGCTGTGGCTTTTGTGCAGGAGTCTCCCAGCTGGACAGAGCCCGTGGCTCACTTGAAACCCCCCTGCGTGTGTGCAGCACCCCATTCCCAGGGGCAGGCTGCAGAGGCAGAAGGGAATGCTTTACGCAGACGGATGCTCTTGTATTAAGCACTCAGCAATTAGCATCCCAGCAACGGCATTGTGGCATCTTCCAGGCTCCTCGCTGGCGACCTGGGCATTGGGTTCTTGGGGGTGGGAGTGGTGAAGATGGGGTGGATGCCCAGTTAAGAACACAAATTAAACCAGGCAGTGGTAAGGCATCTGTAAGCAGTCTGGCTCTGTCACTATGGGGAGGGAGAAGGGGAGACACTTCATAGAATCATAGAGCTGGAAGAGACCTCAGGAGGTCATCAAGTCCAGCCCCCTGCCCAAGGCAGGACCAATCGCAACTAAATCAACCCAGCCAGGACTTTGTCAAGCAGAGACCAGGGGCTGTGTATGGGGCGGGGGGAAAGGGGGTGGGGAAGAAGAATTGGGCAGTTCAGTGATTGGTGGGAAGGAATAGACTCCACAGCAGCCCCATAAGCCTGAACTATCCTGTTTGCATTTTCAGGGCCCATCGTAATGACATGGAGAACATTTTCCCCTTCCTCTTCCTTGGGGCCATCTACTCGCTGCTGGAGCCCAATCCCCTCCTGGCACGAGCCCACTTCCTGATCTTCTGCTTGGGGCGGATAGTTCACACCGTGGCCTACCTGCTGCAGCTGAAAGCTCCCACGCGCTCGGTGGCATACAGCGTGGCCCAGCTGCCCTGCTTCTCCATGGCACTGCAGATCCTCTTCGCGGTCATACCAAACTGGTAACACGCAAGACTCACCCGCCAGGGCTGCCGAGGGGCTTAGAAAGATGTGACTGTGCTGCTTTCCCAGGAGATGGACTTACTCTGCTGTGGCTTTTGTGCAGGAGTCTCCCAGCTGGACAGAGCCCGTGGCTCACTTGAAACCCCCCTGCGTGTGTGCAGCACCCCATTCCCAGGGGCAGGCTGCAGAGGCAGAAGGGAATGCTTTACGCAGACGGATGCTCTTGTATTAAGCACTCAGCAATTAGCATCCCAGCAACGGCATTGTGGCATCTTCCAGGCTCCTCGCTGGCGACCTGGGCATTGGGTTCTTGGGGGTGGGAGTGGTGAAGATGGGGTGGATGCCCCGTTAAGAACACAAATTAAACCAGGCAGTGGTAAGGCATCTGTAAGCAGTCTGGCTCTGTCACTATGGGGAGGGAGAAGGGGAGACACTTCATAGAATCATAGAGCTGGAAGAGACCTCAGGAGGTCATCAAGTCCAGCCCCCTGCCCAAGGCAGGACCAATCGCAACTAAATCAACCCAGCCAGGGCTTTGTCAAGCCAAGACTTAAAAACCTATAAGGATGGAGACTCCACTACTTCCCTAGGGAACCCATTCCAGTGCTTCACCACCCTCCTAGTGAAATAGTTTTTCCTAATATCCAACCTAGACCTCTCCCCTGTAGATTGAGACCATTGCTCCTTGTTAGTCCCTCCCCTCACACCTCCCATGACAAACAAGGAGTTAATGATATGCCAGGAAGAGCAAATTGGAGCAGGAGCTAGCCCCTGGCTGCATATGCCACTGTTTTCCCTGCGGAGCTGGAGTTGGCAGCCTGGAAGGCCAGAGAGGTCTGGGGAGGGGGTAATTGCCCTTGCTACAGCGGGAGCTTGGGTTGGGAGTGGCAAGAGGCTGCTCTGGGTTTGTCTGAATTCTATGATTAGGAGTTTTCGATCCTTGCCAGTGGAGATGAGCTCGGCCCTCATCACTAGAACTGCCTCAGCTAGGGCTTTGCTCCCAGCCCCTGCTTCGGGCTGGGGTTTTGCCCTTAAAGGGCCAGTGCAGGGCAAGCACCCTGTCACACCCTGGTTAGAGAGATCCTCTCCTTTTCGTTTCTCTTTTAACTTCCTGAACAGGAAGGAAACAAGTTGGGGGCGTGGCATCTGCTGCTGTCCGGTGAATCTCTGCTAGGAAGCAGAACCCAAAGGGTTAAATCTCTCAGTGGGTGGCAGTAAAGCCACAGAGGGAACTGGTGATTTTGCACCTTCCAAAGCCAAGTTACATCAGCAATCCAAAGAAAGGGCTCCTCCGGGCCCCTGAGATCAAGACTTCCCTTTGACTGTAAACTCCAGAGCAGATGGGTCCATTTGCTTTTGGAGGGAGAAGGGGGGATTGGCTTGGGGCATGTCAGACCATCTCCAGACTCCATCCTGCAAAGAGTAATCTATTCCAAGGAAGTCCAAGGTCTTGTCACAAACCAATTCTACTAGCCAGATACACAGAGAAGCATTGGAATTAGAGTTCATCCGCAAATTCAATTTTCATGCTAATGGACTCAATCATGATGAAGGATGGCTAGGACATTATCTACCTAATAGTCAGTGAAGGTGCAAACAGCTCTTTGTGTAGATTCCTATGTCAGGAAGGATACTATCAATTGACTTTGATTCTTATCTGCTTCGTTTTAACTACTCAGTCTTCAGATACTTACTGATTCCCTCTACCTTCCTGAATTTTCTATACTCCCTGCTCCCTGTCTCCCACCCCCTCCTTTTCTTCCGCCAGGGCTTTGTCAAGCCAAGACTTAAAAACCTATAAGGATGGAGACTCCACTACTTCCCTAGGGAACCCATTCCAGTGCTTCACCACCCTCCTAGTGAAATAGTTTTTCCTAATATCCAACCTAGACCTCTCCCCTGTAGATTGAGACCATTGCTCCTTGTTAGTCCCTCCCCTCACACCTCCCATGACAAACAAGGAGTTAATGATATGCCAGGAAGAGCAAATTGGAGCAGGAGCTAGCCCCTGGCTGCATATGCCACTGTTTTCCCTGCGGAGCTGGAGTTGGCAGCCTGGAAGGCCAGAGAGGTCTGGGGAGGGGGTAATTGCCCTTGCTACAGCGGGAGCTTGGGTTGGGAGTGGCAAGAGGCTGCTCTGGGTTTGTCTGAATTCTATGATTAGGAGTTTTCGATCCTTGCCAGTGGAGATGAGCTCAAGTCTGTATCCCATCTGCCTTTGTAGAAAGGGAAGGAGGTTCGGAACCATCCTGAAATGGCCAAACTCGACCCATTTAGCTGACTCCTGTTCTCTTCAGCCTGCCTCCTCTTTTAAAGTGGGTGCTGGGGGGAGAAGCTGGATAAAATGGGACCGTGATCAGACCCATTGTTGCTTTATGGAGGGGAGAGAAGAGAGTGCTGGGATCTGCTTTTTGGGGGCGAAAGGCAGGTGGAGCACAAAAAAATCCAGTTTGTAGAGTGTCTGTCACCGAGAGTCCTGTGACATTTGCCTGTTGTAAAATCAGCTTTCCTGGAATCCTGGTCATACGACGCCAGGAATCTTGGCTTTCTTCAAACAACAAACAGTTCATTTCCTGGCATAAAGATTACAGAGAGGAACTTGGAACAGTGAATCGTAAAAACTGAGTCGTGGCAGGAGGAAGAGACAAATAAATAAAAGCCTGTTTGTTTGGGGGTTGTTTTTTTCCAATCGTTTGTAAATATCGTGGGTTTTGGTGTGCTAATGCCTGATTCTTTCTTTAAGGAGTTGGGGTTGGCCATGCTGAGTTTGGGTTTCTCTGAAACTGCTCCAGGCAGGGGAGTCGATAGTCTCCGCAGGTCCCTGGGCAAGGGGGGCTCTGCGCTCCCAAAAGGGGTGGAGCCTGAGGGCAGCCAGACCTCCACCCTACCTGGAGTGTGGTGTGGCGCTCTGCTGATGATTTAAAGAGTTTGGGGCCCTGGCTGCCAATTGCTGGGCCCCGGAACAGCTCTCCCCTTTGCTGCCCCTGTCAACGGGTCTGGTCCCAGGATCCTAAACTCAAAACTCTGGTCAGTTGTGCCCACAAAAGCTCACGATCCCATCTACATGTTTTGTTAGTCTATAAAGTTCTACCAGACCATTTGTTGTTTTTTTCTGTACAGACTAACTCGGCTACGCTTCTGGGAAATAATGCTCTTCCTAATGCACCGTAATATGCCATTAGCCTTCTTGGCTACAAGGGCACACTCCACCAACAGGCTGCTTTAAGTTCCTGTGTTTGTCTTGCTTGCCCTCACTTGTGGCCGATCATGACACCACCCCTGCCCTCTACCTCAGCTAGATGCAAACTAGATGGAACCCCCAGGATTAGCCCAGCACAAAGGAAGTGTGCGCCTCTCTGCTCTCCCTTCCACCGCTTAGGCATGGCTTTCCCACAGCCTGCTCTAAGAAGGGAGCTAGGGTGGGGCTGGTCTGGGGCAGGCAAGACGGACTGAGCCGTGGTCCTGTCACAAGGCCACACCTACAATACACGCCGTTGGCCTAGGAATGGGCTGTGGAAAGTGGGGCTTAGCAGTGGCGCTGGAACAACATCTCAGGTGGGGGTGCTGAGCCGTGATGCCCCCTCTTCCTGGGGATGGCTGCAGAGCCCCAGGCCTGAGGCTGACGGTCGGGTCCCTGCGACCTGCAGCAGAGCTGCTGGAACCCCGGGGCCAACAGCAGAGCCTGTGGGGCTGCCCCCCCCCCCAGAGGCAGCACAGCTGATGGCCAGGATCCCCAAAGGCAGCAGTACCACTGGCTGGGACATGGGCACAGTGGGTGGTGGCTAGAAGAGGCAGGGGAAGGCAATGCCTTCCTCAGCTGCCAGCCTGGCCCTGCTCACCCCCCACCCCAAGCTTCCACCTCCCTTTGGTGCATCTCTCCTAGGGCTGTCTGGGATTCAGCCCTGCTGAGGTGAGGGCTGTGCTACCAGCTCTCCAGGAGCTGGGGAGGCTGGGATCAGGCACTGCCTGCCCTCCCTCTCCCCTGTGTTCTGGCTGGGGCTGGGGAAGGCTGGGGCCATGGGCCACCCACCCGCTCTCTCCCCAGAGCTCTGTCCAGGGTCAGGAAAGTGGGGCTGCTCACCCTTCTCTCCCCATGCTCCTAGGCTGGAGGGAAGGCTGGGGCTGTGGGCTGCCCACTGGGAGAGGTGGCTTGCCCCTATAGTAGAGGGGCACTTGGCTCCCAAGTGCCCTAGATGGCAGAGGCATGGCTGTGGGCGGAAGCGGTGGGGCTGAAGGTTTGTCTGAGGTTGACTCGCTGCCTCCCTCCCGCACTCTTACTTCCCATGCCAATGGGCTATAATTAAAAACACAGGTGTGCAACATCCCCAGTGAAGAGAATACGTATAAACGCACGGCACTTCAAACCGGTATCAACTTTGATAGAAGGCTGGACTGGCTAGCTTCACACACACATGCCAATTCCCTAGGCAAAGGATCGTGATCACTGACAGAGCCTTCACATTCTGTCAGTAAACGTAAGGGGGACTTGGAAATTTGACCTCAAATAAGGAGTGGCCAACCCAAGAAACTTCGTGTTAGGGCCAGTCTGTACACACCTGCCTGTTTGCTGTCGATTAAAGGTCTGGGATGCTGCGTGT